TCTATTGGAAAATGTAATCATATAAATATGTATAAATTGATGTCATATAATGTATAATTAATTGTCAATTTTTTAAATAACGTGGTTAGAATGAAAACAATGAATTATTCATATAAATATACGTTGGTATATAAATATATATTGATAAATGTGAATCAAGCAAATTAATGTAGTCAATCTAATGTTGTGTGTGAGTCAGTATGAAGAAATATTTCTTTATATAAAAAGACACAAGTAATGAGAGATACACAGGGTGTCCCGAATCTAAACTTCAGGAACGTGCAGAGGATCAATAAATTAAAAAAAAAATCCTGTAGAAGTAGATTCGTTTTTGTTTCGTTTTGGAGAAAATCGCAAAAAAGAAAACGCAGTTGCTTCATTCTCATATTATCTCTAAAAAATTATTATCGTCGCTGAAATCGTGCATGAAAACAATAATTATTCCGTTTTCAGATGAAAATTTTCTTTGTTTGTTTACATTTCTGTATTTCTCCTAAATAATTCGTCAGAAGCTATCAAGTGAATTACTTTTGTCACAATATGTCGCATACATTCTAATGTTGAATATACTAACATGATTTTCGTATATGGTTTTTGCGGCGGTAATGCTATGGAGGCGGTGCGAGAGTATGTACGCCGATTTCTAAACAGAAAAGCCAGATCGGCGAGTCATTGCAATAACTTTTAATAGTAATAATAAAGGCTACGAGAGACCGGCTCATTTTCATTAAGATCCGTAAATATGCAAGTAGAAAATCACATCCTGTATCCTTTGATAACAATCCTAAGATCAGTATCTGGAACAGCATCTTTGGCGTCTTATGCAAAATTTTAAAAAGTGGAAGCTTTATTATCTCATTCATATAATAATAACAAAATTTTGAATATAATTAATTCATATAAAATATCAATGTATGTATTTATTTGCAAAGCATGTCGGTGTTTGTATTATAAATTATGTATACTGAACAATTTTTTTTGAATAGAATAAATTATTCTGTATTTTCATTCTGAATAATTAAACATAAATTGCAAAATTTACAAAACATAACAAATATAATATATCTTACATATCTTATACGCACATATGTAAATTGAAAGATACAATTTCGCGTGAGGGAACAAACATTTCAATTTCGAATAAGAATAATTGAAAACTCACTGAGCTACGAACAGTAAAAAGTTATCCTCACGACTCTCGCTGCGTATGTCCATTGTTCAAACTCTTGCGATTTCACTGTTTTTTTTCTTTTATTTACTTCATTATGAGTTGTGATTAATATCAATATATTAATATCTATATATAGATATATCTAATCAGAATGAAAAGAAGCACGACAAAAAAAAAACATACGAATCAGTTGTTTTTATTTTCTTTATGTTGATATAACACAATAAATTTATATTCCTAAATAAATATATATTATTATATATTTTTTCAATGTTTTTAAATAATTATATTAAATTATTATTGGCGTTAGATTCTAAGGCGCCTTTGCTTCAAGACGCCTCGATGCGCCACTTATCGTGTTTACCGTCTAAAATCAGCCTTAGAGAGCGTCAGACACATTACGATTGCCACAGCAAAGAATCTACAGAACTTTGAAAAATGATAATCGCCATTCGTACTATATTCAAAAAGTTGAGAATTTATTACCTCAGGATTATGTGAAGAGGTTGAATTTTAATAATGTTGGTTTCTTAAGCAATTAAACAATGACAATTCATTTCCATCAAAAATAATCTGGACGGACGAAGCTACATTTACAAGAGGAGGAATTATTATTAGTCAAAGAAATTATCATGTATGGGCTCATGAAAATTCCAAGCCTTTTAGACTTGGAAAAATAGACTCCAACATGAATTTGCTTAATGTTTGGTTCGGAATTGGAAATGAACTCTCTAGTGACCATTTTTTTACCTGACAGATGCAGCCAGATATACTGAATTTTTGGAGACTGATTTCTTTAATTATTTACAAGACATCCATTTGCAGATTGAAATGTGGTTTCAACTTGATGGATGTCAAGCTCATTATGGCAGATTCGAGCTTGGCTAGTCAGACATTTTCCACGACGATAGATTGGACGTGGAGGAGTACCTTGGCTATCACCTGATTTGACATCACTTCTTTGTGTAGAGGATCCTGAAGTAATTTATTCGTCGCCAGTCAATTCAAGAGAATTGAGAAATCGAATTGAGGTTTCAGTATACCAAATATCGCCAGATCAGTGGTTGGCTGCAACACGAGCTGTTCGTATTAGATACAATGCTTGCATTGTTACAAGCCAACATTTGAACAATATCTACATTAGGCAAGTGAATAAATATAACGTGAAAGTAATGAGAAAGTACAAAAATGAAAACTATGTTTTGTCTTTTTTGTGATTTTCTCTAAAACGAAGCAAAAACGAGTATATATTTCTGCAGAACTTTTTTTCTTAGTTTATCGATCCTCTACACGCTCCCGAAGTTTAGATATTTAAATTCGGGACACCCTGTATATGTGAGTGAATATGCGATGGAAATCAATTAAATTTTTGTACGAACTATCATTTTGTACGAAACATCGATTATCGTTTGAGAATGAGAAGAGGTTGGTGTAGAAAGAAGGAAACCAATAAGATAGAAAGGGGCATAAGTTGTGAAATAAGAAAAGAAAGTATATAAAAGTAGGAAAAAGATTAAGAAGGGGAAAGTAATTGTATAATTTGAAGATAGGATTCTGATAGAGATTCTGTATCAACTTCTTTGTTTAAGCCTTGCTTCTATCTCTATATGAACCATCTCCGATATAAATCTCTTAAATCTCTTATAAGACGTTTCTTTATCTAAATTTCTATGGCTTTCCATTTAAAATTATGGTTATAATTTATACGATGATCTATAATGACAGAAGGAGAACTGTTTTCTTTATTTATATCGAAAGTGTGTTCATGTAATCTTGTTTTTAATTTTCTTTTATTTACGGTTTGACTATATAAGTCAACGCATCACAATCTTCGCACGAAATTTTGTAGACAACATCTTGATTAGATAATTTATCCAATTGGTCTTTTTCTCTTTTAATAAATTTTTTTAAGATATTGGGGATAGTAAAAGCTAGTTTATAATTAAATTTGGTAGTATGGATAAGAAATTTTTAGATATAGATTTAACGTAAGGTATTGTAAAAAATTTTTCTTTAGCTTAAACGAAAGTATTATATGTAGTCATGTTATTATTGAATACATATTTTAATCTTTTTTCTATTATATAGCAAAAATAAAAGACAGTGGATATTCATTGTTTAAAAGAATGTGAATAGCATTAATTAGATTATTTTGATAAAAACGAGGATCTGATAATTTTATTATTTTGTCTACAAAACCTAGATAATACGTTTTGGAGCAAAAAGGGTAATGTGTTATAATTCAGAAATCTACCAAAAAAGATTGTCCTTTGATACATGTCAAAAATAATGGTCAAATCTAATCATGTTTAATCTAATAAAAACGTGTCAAATCTAATCATCTATAATAATAATTGTATCAAGAAAATTCGATTTTCCATTATCACCTACTTCCATTGTGGATTATAATCTCATATGTAACGAATTAAAAATGTTAAGTATGTCATTGATACTGATCAGATGGAACTGTTAAAACGATATCGTCACATATCAAAAATAAAATAGCAATTTCACAGATAGTTTGATTGCAAGTTCTTCCAGTCTTGTAATACAATATCAGCATTAATAGGAAACAGTGATGAACCTATTGGATTGTCAAATCTGAACTGTTCTAAATTCTACATTCTTTTTCTTCAACAATAAACTTTATAAACAAAGATTTAGCACTCCAATGGGTTCACCATTCTCTCCTACTAATGCTGATATTCAGAGTTGGATAAGTTGATGTTTTTTTTTTAATTGAATAAAATTAAAGTTAATGGCTTTATAAAATTAATAAAGTTAGTTATAAAAGAATTAAGTTAAAAGTTGAAGGAATAAAAAATCAACTTAACGTAAGTTAAGTCAATATTGAATTAATTTAAGTTAAAAAAAAAGTTAATTTTGAAAAAAATTATTTTTTAGATATAATGTCCTAATTTTTCTTGAAATGAAAGTAAATAACTAAAATATAGATTATTAAGTAAATTAAATTTTTAATTCATATGTGATATAAGTATAACACATAAGGATATAACTATATAAGTTATATAAATTTAAAAAAACAGCCAGCACATAGAGAAGATACAAGTTTATTTTTTAATAAGTCTTAAGCTATAAGAAATTGACCAATTACAATCGAATGTGAGAAGAATATTTGACTGTAATTGGTCAATTTTTTATGAGTTAAGGCTTAAAATACCTATTGTAGATCCGGACTAAAGCTTATGGCATAAGGCATAATCGCATAAACTAATCAGAGAACTGTATTCTTAAGAAATTACTTAAGATGATCTTAAAATATGAATAGATTACGAATATACACTCTAAATCTTATTATATCTTATTATTTTTCTAAGATATTTAAAAGAGATAAAAACATTTTTTTACTTAAAAAAAAGTTAAAAAATTAACTTAGTTAAGTTAAAATTTAATGTATTTAAAATTAACTAAGTTAAGTTTAAAGTTATTAACTCTTAATTATTTTTTAACTTTTAACGTTTTAATTAGTTATTACCTAACTTTGCTGATATTGTATTACAAGACCTGGAAGAATTGTGATTAAACAACTACTTGTGGAATTGCTATTTTGTTTTCGATGTGTGGATGACATTGTTTTAGTGGCTCCATCTGATAGTATCAATGACATACTTATTTTTAATTCGTTACACATAAGATTACAATCCGCAATGAAGGTAAAAATGGGAAATTTTCTTTGATTTTGATACAATTATTATAGAAAAGACTATTATTTTTAGCGCGTATCAGCTGATTTTTACCAGTTTTACATTTTTACAGGTAATTACATTTTTTGCAAGTGTTTTTTGCGGTCGCAATTATTTTTGTTTACCTTAGAGTATCCATAACCATTGTGAACAAGACAAACTTGCCAAGCAAAGGCACCACCAGCGATGTAGGTGGTATTATTTCAGCCAATAAAAGAAAAAATACTGTCAGCGACAGTAGTATGGAGACGGAGAGACTGACCTAGAATAAGAAAAAGAAATTTTGACCCCTAGAATGCATTATGTAATATTATTCTGAACAAATCATTCATCATCACATTGTATAATCACATTTCAGTTTGCAATTATGATATTTAGTATCATTTGTAACAAAACAAAGATTTCAAATAAAAATTAATAATTTCGTTGAAAATTACTGTTTCAAGAATAATGCGTAAAAAGAGAAACAAATAAACGTTTTAAAAATGTAATTTTAATTTTGTCTGTATACTTCTATTTTTTCCATAATTTACGAAACAAGCTTTCGAATGTATGAATTTATAAAGCTACAAATGTATATGTGTTACACTTTAAAAGTGCATTGGAGGTGATTAGAGAAGGTATTGTCTCTGAGTTCTCTCACATTGATTCTATGTGCTGACGTATTACAACCGTTTCATCCTAGCTCTTCTTCTTTTCCCGTATCCTCATTGCATATCATCATCATCGATTGTTAAACGACCGGCTGACACTTTAACCTTCTTTCTCTTTTTTTTGCCTATCTTCCGCGAAGGAAAAACTCGGTTCATCTTTCACGGTGGAATAAGAAAAAGCAGAAGAATACATCTGAATTATGTAAACTGGTAAGTGAATATTGCTGGAGGTCGAGTGTATTTTACAAGGCACTTAAAGACGTAACGTTTCGCCGATGCGAAAAGATCCGTCGCAGATTAAACTTTAATGGCATGCGAGCTGTGCCATATTCCATATTCCGATCTAATCGAGCCAAATCTTGCGTCTGCAAAATTAATTTCCGACTGCGACCGGAGTAAAGTTCTCGAAGGTATATAAAGAGAAACGCGATATCGGGACAATAAGGTCGATCGTGAATTAAACTGTAATGGCGCGTGAACTATACTGTTCTATTCTGATAAGATCAATCGTTGATTATTTCAAATTAATCGAATAAAATTTTCCCATTTTGTGGATTAATCATTGCTTGCGTCCTTAAGAGAAATTAAATGTTTATCAACGCATAATCGAGAAAAAATCGAGCATATTACTATGATGCAAGTTTCATTTTGATTCAGTGTAATCGCAAATTTTATTTTTTTAGTCGTATCCAATCGAATACAATTTTTTCATTTTAAAAATTAATTTTTGTTTTTAAAGACTAAAATTAAATATTTTTAAATAAAAAATTTAAACTTCTTTAAAAAAAAAAACATCCCTTACAGCAAGTTCTCTAAGAACATTCCAAGAACATCCAGAGAACGATTTATTTCCTAAGGACATCTTCAGAAATCCCTCACGAGAACTGTTTTGTGGAAAAAATTTGCAAAAAGAACAGCTCATGATGACTAATTTTTATTTTTATCTAATGAATTCTAATTCAATCGTAAATTATATGCGATATAAAAAACAAATAATGGTCAAATGAACGAGCCCAGTAACAGTGAAAAAAATAATTTATTAAAATAGTAAAATTAATGATAGTACATTTCAACTTCATTAAGGTTCGGTTTCATTGATGCAAGATTAATTAACTTACCGTTTATTTTTTTTAATTTTAATTCTTAGCATTAGAAAAAGATAAAAAGTAAATTGAACCGAGATTAAAGTTAATTTGGAGACACGGTAATGTCTCGGCACTAAGCGTAGTAACATTGTCGTGGCTACTTTACGCGAGCTGACGAATTGTGGGAGACCGAGATTATCATATCTCAATAAGAGCAGAATCACGTTCTACACTTAATCGATAATATACTCCGGTTGTATAGTACGTATTTTTATTTTTTTCTCTATGTATCCTACGAGCGAAAATATTGCGACACAAAATACGAATCTGAAACTTTTAATGTAATATAAGAAACGTCGTCGTCATCATCGCCGCTACGGAGAAATGTCCTTTTGGAATTTTTGGCACAAGAGACAAATGTAGCATATGATATGTTTTTAAATTATTACAATAATTATTTAAAAAATTGATGTCTTCGAAATTATGGGCCAATGGCTGAAACGGCCGAACATGTATCGTTTTCTTTTGTTCAAGAATTGTCTGTAAAAAGTGCACGGAAATTCTCGGCATCATTATCTTCCCCTTGTTAGGACATACTACTCTTATAAAAGATTTTCAAATATTACATTGTTACATTATTTATAGTTTGTATTACATTGTTACATTATTTTGCTTATTTCATTTCAAATTGTTCATTATTTATAGTTTACGAAAATATTCGAAAAAAAAATATTTCAATATGAAGTGTAGTACTAATTAATTAATTTGTTGGTTCATAATTTTGGAACACGTCTCGAAAAGAAAAATGAAAATTAAAGTTGCAAACCATAGATTATTTATTGTTTAAAAATTATTTTACATATACAAGAAAGATTTTGATATTTCAAAATTCATACGGATTTTTATTATATTACAGTCGGCATTATTTCTTTTGTTTGTCTTAAATTACAGGCATCGAAAAGAAAGGAGAAAAAATTAGTTAATTAGATATTTTCTACTTAATTTGTAACTAAATGATCGCACTGATATTGGTGATGAGACGTTTTGTGCTGTGGACTTGTGCATCGATAACTTTCTGGAATCAACAATTATTTACGCTAATATGATGAACAGAAGAAAGATCTGTATATTATTTATAAGACTTCAGAATATCAGTTATATTATATTGATTCAGCTAAAAAAGGAGCTGTGCAACTATACGTAAATTCTTCATTATCATTGAGTTATACATTTCAAGTCTAAAGGCAAGAGTTATGTTAACAATCTTACAACGGTTGCAAAGTTATCTTTTCTGCTGAACATAGCCATTGTTAAATTATTTCGCTTATTTCGTTAAATATTTGAGGAAAACAGTTGTTGCAAAATTAATAGGAAATGTGATATTAATTAGTGATTAATAGTATTAGAATTTTTTAAATGAACTTGTAAAATTGATGTGTTAAAGATTTTTAAAGAAAACTTTAGTCTTTAGTTAAGAAAAATTAAAATGGCAAACTAAAAACAAATATTTATTTATTATTAAAGATATTACATATCAAGTAAAAAATTAGGTGTTAAAATGTTCATATAAGTTCCTTTTATTATCTGAACAAAATCTTCTCTTTCAAAAGATTTTCAATTTTACATATATGCAAGACAAATTTTGATATTTCAAAATTCATATGGATTTCTGTTATTACCAAAAATATATAATAAACAACATATATTTACAACCATTCTAGATTGAGACTATTTGTATTCCTATTTTGAAAGTCTTTTATTCCAATCTCGCAAAGAAAAGTAATAATAACTTGGACACTTTTCATTAAAAATAATTTCATTGAAGGTCTTTCCATTCTGATTCAAGTAATAATCCTTTTTCAAAAATCCTTTTTTAATTCTTTTTTTATTATATAAAAATAAAAGATATGTATAAATACCAATAAGTTATTAAAAAAGATCAAGTAACTTTAACTCTCCTTAAAAAATTATTATATAAAAATTATTGTATCATAAAGTTTACTTAACCCTTATAATGATATGCAAAATCCCCTCCAAAATATATTATTATTTGAATCAAAATAGAAAGAGCTTCAATGAAAATATTTCTGAAGAAAAATGAAAGTTACTGTTCTTTTTTTCTAAAATTGGAGTAAGAAGACTCAATGCAATTCCAATACGTTTTATTTAGGTTTTATCATGTTTATATTTTATCATATACTTTATCGTATATAAATAATTTTTCCAAAGTGCACATATTCTTAGCCTTTTTATCATTTTTTAAGAAAGAAGATTTAATTAGTTACTATTATATTATTTTTTTTTGGGGGGGGAAGAGATTTTACACTATAAGAGTTAAGTAAACTGATGATATAATAATTTTTATATAATAATTTTTGAAGGAGAGTTAAAACAATTTTACAAATCATTTAAATAATTCTAGCATTATTAATCACTAATTAATATCACATTTTCTATTAATTTTGCAACAAACTGTTTCCTTCGAATATTTATCGAAACGAAGTAAGCGAAATAATTTAATAATGGCTATGTTCAGCAGAAAAGGCAACTTGCAACAATTGTAAGATTTTTATTATGATTGATTCTTGCCTTTAGACTTTCTTGGATCTGAATGTATAACCCAATATGATAATGATAATTTGATGATAATGAAGAATTTTACATTAGTTGCACAGCTCCTTTTTCAACTGTGAATGTATTCTTCATCACACTAGCGATATAAATAATTGTTGGCCCCAAAAGGTTGTCGATGCACAAGCCTTAGTACAAAAACGTTTTATTACCAATATCAATATACGATATTTAGTTAGTTGGATTAAGCAGAAAATAATTAGCTACTTTTTTCTCCTTTCTTTTCGTTGCCTGTAATTTAAAATAACAAATAATATAAATAATGTCCACTATGAAATAATATCTATGAGAACGCTAGTCTCCGAAGAGATTCATACTAGCATGATATACATAAAATCTGAATTCGATTCTCGACCTAGGTAATATTTTTCGCAATATCTAAATCTTATATTGGCGAAATTGGATTTAAGTTATTAGCTATGGATATAATACTAATTATCTCTAAAAATAAATAATAAAGAAATATAATAAACTAAGTAAACAATTGTAACATAAAAATAAACTGTTGAATAAACAAATAAAATAAATAAATAAATTTCAAAAATTCTATACATCAACAGAAAAATCAAATTTCTAATAACAAAATTTTGAATTCTTATCGCTGATTATAAGATATATTTCATTTCTGATCCAATAAAATTTTTGAGTATATAGAAATTAATTTTTAATTATACTTCTAAAAAACGAAATATTTATATAGAGGTATATTAAAATAGAATGTCAAACAATTCCAATTAAATTTAATTTTTCTATTCTCTGTTCAAATTTAATTAAAATATAAAATTTTTGTTTTTCCAAAATTATTTGCTTGAATTTCTAAAATAAAATATTTAATTTCCATGAGATTATAGCAATAGGAAATAGGTAAAATGAATTATATTATTGAAATACGCATAAAACATAATATATAAATATAAGAGAATGAGTCATCAATGAATTAATTACCTTCTCTCCACTGTCGCATGGTAAGTAAAACACTAATACCGTGAGGAATGATATTCCCAAGCAGGGTATTATGAGGTTAACGGTGTAGAATAGAGTTTTCCTTCTCATCGTTATATAGAAAGTGATGTCAAGGTAAGGCTCGTTACAACACGTGTAAAACCTTTCATGTCTGCAATTACACATTTCATATTTTACTTAACAATCGCTTACAATATATTAAATATTCAGAATTAAAATCGAAATTATTAATATTATTGTTCTCTGATTATATATATATTAATAAAAAGTTTAATTATTAATGTTTATTAAATAATCGTTTAAGTATGAAAAAAATCAATCTATGTCGTTATCAACTTGTTAAAATTGCTAGCATATAATAAAACAACAAACGCAAAACCTTAATGATCTAAAAGAGAATTAAGAAACTTTTTATGAGAATTAATGCGTACCTTACAGCGGGTATTTCTAGTATATCCCATTCGACGGAGGTATAAAACTCTGTTAGATCGATTCCAATATCGACGACTCCATTGCTGTTTTTTACATTGCCATTTTTGCCTTCGTCAATGTGTCGAAGATCGACCTTAACAATAAATTATTAATTTTTACAATGCATTAATATTACGTTACTTAACATCTAATCAGTTGTCTGGTTTGACTTTTGTGCTAAGATTACTTATTACTTATATGCGCCTTTTTTTTATTATTATAAGAAAATTCACGCGTATCATCAATTAAGTAAAATAATACCCAATATGACTTACTCGTTGTTTGTATTTACACGATGAATTCAATAAACATTAGTATGTTGTATTTGTTACACTAATTGGTTGTTTATACGATTTATTTGTAGTTAATTGCTCAGTTTGGTATTCTGTTGTCAGTAAAGTCAAATGCAGAACGTTGTGATTTAATATTTCATAAATAAGTTTATTTTCTATAATTACCAAGTAATAATTATTGGATGTTTTCCATTTAGTGACACAAGTTGACACAAGCATCTCTACTGAAAAAAAATTACCAAAGTTACGAAATCATGTAATTAAGACATGTAAATCAATAGCAGATTGTTCCAAATTAGTGCGTGATTTCTGAAAAATCATATTGAAAATAATTTCATTCATTATCTGATTTTATAGTTAGATTTTTAGTACCGAATTTTAAAGAATTGATAGAAACAGAGAGAAAAAAAACGTATTATTGTATGACTTTTTTACGTAATTTAAAAAAATTTACACGTATACTGATTTGGAACAATCCACGTGATTTACTTGTCTTAATTATATGATTTCTTTATGTAACTTTTTGATGTGATTTTTTTCAGGAGGGATTATTCTATTTTTCTTGACAGTAAAAAAGCAAAGCTAAAACGATACTTGTGACATCTTGTATCATTAAATGGAAAGCATTAATTTTCGCAATATAATTATTGTAGCTCTGTATTAACACTTTACAATATACTGTGTTTAGTTTATATTTTGGTCATCATATTTTGTTTATAACTAAAGAAAGAAAACTCTTTGTAAGGTAAAACGGAAACTTTTTGTAAGATAGAACTCTCAGTAGAGCTAATATGATCAACTTAAGTATATTGATTATATATATCGATTATGATGTTTTTGTCTAATGTTATTTTTGTTACTTAATTCAAGCCATAGATTCTAATCCATTTGTTAAACATCGTGAAGATAAATCAATTGTTTGGAAAATAGTTCTTTGTGTATTTATACATGTCAATAAATATGCAAATGTTAATAAATTTATAATTTTAGAAAATTAGTACAATATTATATAAATAACTTTAATTTTCCATCATTTTTTTTAATAAAAATAGGATAAATATACATTAAACATATTAAGTTAATATATATGTGCACCAAAACATGATTTAAACACTACTTTTTCTTAAAATCTTCATTCATGTAGATATTTAAAAATATGAAATATTTTTAATTAATGTTAAAAAATATTTTCTCTTCTGAATCTGGCTATTAGTTTTCAATTTTGGACTCAGCAAAAATTAACAAAAATCACAAAGCTTAGGTAGGCCAAATTAAGTACAGTTTTCTTTTTGAAATTAAATCGGAACAATTAATTACAATGTGTAAGATTTTAGCATAGGCAGAGATAGATTTGATTATATTTAATTACACATTATATTTAATTAGCACATAAAACACTTTTTAAATAATATTGATAATACTTAATTAGGTCAGACGTTAATTCGTGTCACCGTTTTATTTCTTTACCTTCCGTCTGTCTATCATTTATATTCAATTGCGCGTTTCTAACAAGTGACATTTTACTCAATAAAAAAAGATAACAAGCGATATATACGATCTTTCACTATACGACCTAACGGCCAACGACAATAATACTTCTTAATGTATTACAAAAGTCACTTTCAGAATATTTGTGATTGCCCTAACAAGAGATCTCTGCGAAATCTTCCTGTTGCACTAATAAATTGATTATTGAGTCGTTAAGATTAATTGAATGGTTCATCTAATATAAGAACACATATCTCATAAGAAAAAGTTCTTTGAATATGGAAAAGATTTAATATTTATCAGACCCTTGATTCACGAAGAAAAAGATCACCGGAAATAAAATACAATATAAATATCCTTGGCACTATACACTTTCACGTACGACATATCTTTTTATTTGTATCAATTCTTTTTTTAACTTACAAGAAACAAATAGCTTTCCTGCAACAGTTAAATCGATTCGCGCGTCACGCGTTTGGATAATGGAAGGCAATTTTCGAAACATCGACGAAATACCAGACAATTCTCACCTGAAAACCATCATAAGTCCACGAGCCAAATTTCATCATGCACGTTTGTTCATCAAAGGGAAAATATTCGACGTCGATTTCGCAGGAAGACTTATAAATAGCTGGTGGCTTCCAGTCGACCCTGCCCGTATAGTTGAGAGTCGCCTTCGTCGCCAATGTCACCTCAAAGTTACCGTCGGCGCTGTTGAACATAAATAATTCTTTTTATCTCATCTCGGGACAAAATAATCTTATTTAAAATAACATAAGTAATTTCCAAAATATTCGCAATATAATTATTCTTGTATACAAAGAATAACATCCTTCTTGTAAATTCGCTGTATAAAATATCTAAAAAGATTGAGAAATCAAATTAATTTAAAGAGATCGAGATAAGAGTAAATAAAATAGGTCGATATAAATGTTCATCACGAAAAATACTTTATTAAAGAAATCAAAGATATAATTTCTTACAAGAAATCAAAAATAAAATTTCTTCTGAGTTTTATAAGTTTTATAATATTATATATTATTATAATATTATATATTATTCCGATTTCTATATGGCTTTATTCAAAATTACACAGTTTTACAATTTTTATAATTCTAAATAAATAAAAACGATAAAGAGATCAAAATAATTATTAGTTATAAATAACAACGATTTAAAGCAGCAACTCGTTTAGCAGTTATACAAGAAATTTTACTATTGAATTATTGATAAGTCTTTACTTGATTAAATGCACTTTTAAACATGATTTCATAAAAAATTAACTTCTACTTAGTACGTATAATCCCAATGAATTCTGTATAATTTGTCACACAAAAGAGTGTATTCTATTATTCAGGAAACAGCTCGTTTATTTTTTAAACGTAAAAGTATGCTCCATCATGTAAAGTATGCTTATAATTTTAATCTTCAGTGTTGTTGTCTCAAAACATATTAAAAATTTAATTGAAAATGTGGAAAAATTCGACTTGGAAATAATTGGTAATAATAGAGATCTAAATTTTCTATCAACTGAGAGTATATATAATAATTTTTCAGTAATTATATAAAAAAAAACTTTCAATAATAAAATAATCACTTACGCATTCTTCTATCAAACACCCATTCGTGATACATTTACTTATGTTTTGATCAGTAATTTATTCAAATCAACAATATTCTATGCCAATTAACACATTAAAGAAAGGAAAGATAGATCTAATCGTTATCTTTCGATCAACGGTATCATCTTACTTGTTATATAAAACTATATCGGGCCTCCATATGTGATCTGATGGCACATGCAGCATATCTACTCCACCGTATTCCTTCGGATCCCATTTCAGCTTGTAATCGTGCCATGACTATGAACAAAGAATCAATGTAACATTATCGCAAATTTCTATCTTTTTTGTTATTTTGTCACTTTTACTTTTATTACGTTACTTTACATTACTTTAGTGTTAAAGTTACTTTAGTTCAAAGAAAGGCCACTGCAGAAAAATATCATGTTCTTTTATAGTGTGTATATATTTCTCAATAAAATCACACAGTATATCCGACTCAGTCGCCGTTTCAATGTCGGAATTTGTGAGCATGTTCTTTAAGAGCAGTGCATTGTCATTGTCATAATATTGAAACCTTAAAATGTTATACTAGATATCAATCATACGCGCATTCTCATTTTGTAGTTGAAATAAATATTGAAATAAATATAAATTAAATATTAAGATAAATGGTTTAGATAAATGTATAAACAATTTTACACACTGTCACATCCGTCAAATTTATCATTCTTATATATTGAACATGTGCTTTAGCAATAATTATATGGTATGAATATATGCTGGTCCACTGAATTACCGTTCATGCAATGATTTCCTTTCTCTGCTTAAAAACTTATAAAATGTTTAAAGTGGACATCAAATTATCAATAATAAAAATTGGAAAACGTCCTTTTTTTGATAAAATGAAATTATCATTACATCGTGCAACAATTTCACATTATTTAAAAACATGACATAAAACAGGACATGGATATATCCATCATTTCTTTATGTCATGTTTTTTTTTACACTTTCAATTTATGAAAAATCTCATTTTTACATCATTTGTCTTGTCTATTGTGCAAATTTTCAATAGATCAACGCTCCTATAATGTCCGTCAAAAATAACGAGTCATAATGTCCGTTGCTTTAACATGTTTAATATGAAAACTTCGAACAAAAATAATCGATAATTATAATTATATCCGTAAACCAATATGTTCATACATTGAGTTATGACAGATTCTTTCTTCAGCTATTTATTCGTTGATCAGAAAATCATGTTAGTTATCTGTTCTCTGACGTAGTATTGATTTTTTTTTATGCTCTTGATTGAATCTGAATATAATAGAATTAATTTTAAGATTATCATTCTTGGAGTAAATATAATTATATACGTAAACATTATTTTCCATTAATTATTGTATTAAACATTGCAATTAGAAAATCAATTAAGTTAGTAAGTTACATTTTTCTCAAAATTGTTTTCTTCAAAATGATGATAAATCATAATTAAAACTGGTTCAAATAAATTTAATAGGCACAATTTTAGATACGCACATACATTCTCTATTTAGTTTAATTCTAAAATCTATTTTTTTTATTACAATAATTACAGAGATCTAATTTCTTGTATTAACAAGTATAACTTGATACCACATCATGCTATTTTTAACTTTTTGTTGCTTAAAAAATATTTTCGTTCCTATAAAAAACAAACTCATACTTTTTTATGAACAATGTCGTAAATATCAATGATTAAGTATATCAATGTGAAAAAAATGTTGTTTGAAATAAAATTTGAAATAAAAGAGAATTGTTACATTGAACAAAAAAAAATAAAAAAACAAAAAATATCATAAAAATATTCGCGTATTTTATGTTTTTCCATCACAATTGTAAATATGGTAGATACTTTTCCTTGAAGCTCGTCAATGAATTATTTATCTATCGTATCCTAATTCATGTATTTAAAATGAGAAGCAACAAAGGATCGGGAAATCACGCTGAAGCTATTTCAAACAGTGCACAGAAGCAATATTTTACAACTTTCCTCATTGCGAGTTGTAAGGTTGAAAATGCGCAGATTTGCATACGAACTTCTTCTTGTTTGTTTACATTGTTCAATTAAAACTGCACATTTTATTACAAAATTTCTATGCCGTTGATTTATTGAATTTTATGAATGATATAAAGACCAATTTTTCTTTTCGTAAGAAATTTATATTTTAGTAGGATAGTACGATTAAAAAATAAACTTAACATTGTGTGTGTGTGTGTGTGTGACAATGCATTGTATACCAAAAAAATTTTCAAATATTTTCGTCAATGATATCTAAGTTTTATAAAGTACCTTGTGATAAATGGATCAAATTTTTACGATGAACTTTTAGACGCGATTTTGAAGTCAGTTCTTTCTCGATAAAAATGTCAAGAAAGTCATTATTCTTTGGAGTTTTTGAAAGTACAAATGTTTTACATCTTTGCAATTGTGCTTTAAATTAAAATAAAAAATCTATTCAAAGTTAAAAGTAAGAAATATACTAATATTTTCAATTTTTAAAAAATAATAACAAAAACTAAATAAGATTTTCAATCTATTTTATTTTCGATTTCTGATTATTTAAAAATTATCAGTATCCTATTCTTAAAGATACTTTTTGAAAGAATAGAAATAAAAAACACTAATAAGTTCCGTCCATTATTGGCTTGTAAAATTTCGTAAATTAATTGCGAACATAGTAAATTAGCTTTAGTAATTACAAATCGCTTTTACTGTTAATTTCCTACTTATATCACTGGAATAGCGAATGATGGATTGCTGACGCCACCGACACAACTGGTCGTCGGAAATGCGCTTCCTTCAGGCGTGGACACAACCTTTATGCGTAGAGCATGTTGAATATTAGCTCGAAGCCGAAGTCTCTCTTCGTCTACGCGTCACTATGTTTGCTAGATAGAATATTATACCAGCATATAGCTGGACATGACTCTATTCTGGGAAATTTGACCATGTTTAACTGAACCAAAGGTAGCTTAGTTAAATAGCAAGCCGTTCGCATTCTGTGAGGTAATTTATTAAATATTTATCACGAAATACATAATCCTCATAATCCATTTGCAATTCTGACACGCTGTACAGTAGGGAATTAAATTTAACCACAATGGATCAAATGATTACTCGTAATACATTTTCTATTGATCTTCCATCGAATTTTTTAATATAACTTTTAATATAACTTAGTATAACTTTCCGTAATAATTAAATGTCGCGATTTCAATTTTAATTCAAATATAACGCAAACTATGTTGATCAAACGCTAAAATGTTTTATTAAATTTAATACATGGATCAAAGAATCGTAATGTTATCACTGATAATAGAAATTACAATTGTTACAAAGTTGCGTTTAAAAAGTTTGTAAAAAATCGGCAGACAATTTATTCACAATTTGGACATTTTCAGCTTATTTGAGCCAGTATCATCCGACTAATCCCACCGATAAATTGTGGTTAAATTAACATTTTCGTGCGCGAACTTTGTGATAATAGTGATGCGGTGGATATTCCGAAAACTTTCGAATGGCATAGCATTGGTCCATAACTCTCCGAACTAAGAGTATACACGAACATCATCAACGTGCCTAGTTTACAGCACATATTAATATTTGATGTCCTTTCACGCTGGTGAAGTTTTCACGCACGACTGGCACAATAAGCTGATAAGAATTGTCAAATATAGAAATACATGAATCTCCAATTTGCAAACTGTGCAAATAGATTTTAATTTTATCAACACAATCAAACTGCATAATTATTACTTTTTTCCTTTCTAATATAATTTTAACGTATTTTAATAATATAAACAAAGACTTAATAACAAATAAGAACGCGTTAAGGAGAGACATGTTGTTTTGACTATACAATATCAGTTAAAAGTATCAGTCAAACAATTAAAATAAACTCAGCCAAATAAAAAAAGCAAAATAAAAAAATAATATCAGCTAATATTAGGCCAATTCAAAATATCCAGATGATTATAACTTGTAAATAAGTTCTGAAATTAACTGCAAAGAACAAACTAACAAATAATTTTACTTATAATAATTTTACTTATATGATTTTATGCAGCAAAATGACCATATTTTTCTGCAGTTTTAGATCAATAACTTGTAAATGAATAAGTGATTCTAAATTAACCTTTCGCACAAATATTTATTATTGTTTAATCAGTATACGTTTAAAATTTGATTTAATTTTTAATGTCACTTTCTTATCAAATTTACAAATAAATACTGTAAAACATGATTTTACGTAAGAATCAAGACTAACAAAAAAATTAAATAACTTTTAAACCAATAAGAGAATTGTGCTCAAATTTTACACCGATATTCGGATGTAGTAATAGAATAATCTAGGAAATTTTTATATTTTTGGCAATGTTTTGAGATATACCTTAATCCTCTATGAACCAAGTGGAAAATTAACATGGATCATATGCGGATACATATCTGATACTCCATACTATACTTCATCATAAATATATTATTTAATGTGATTGGTAACAATGCACTCTCCAGCTAGTACGAAATCAGCAACAAGCATGAGATTTAGAAAATTATAGAAATTTAATCTTGCTGGGATATGTATCATACCCCACCTTCGTTCACGAAGAGTTAAATATTGCTAACATTTAACTTGTACTAACAATATTGTACTACAATAATTTACAAGGATTTATGAAATCAGAATAAATTGAAATTTGTAATGAAATTGCTACGTATCAATTTCAAGCTTTGGTCTAAATTTCAATTTATTCTGATTTTATTATTATCTCGTTATTCATTCCATTTTATTTTTTGATTGTTTTCAATGATGGAATAATTAAAACTTTCGATATGTACAAATATCCGACAAGAGAAATACAATAAAAGAGAAATATAATAAAATAAAATAAATCTAGAATGCGCGCGTAGAAAAGTTATGCAAACGAAGTTAAAAAAATATTTGTACATATATATGATACCGAGAGAAAAGTATTATCTTTTATAACTATTCTCTGAAAATACAAAGAGGATTTAATATATAAGGACATTATATAAAATATACATATAAATATATCTTTATTTATGCTCGTTGATCTCGATAAGAACAGAATATTTATCGAGCAACATTCTATATAATCGTATCATAAGATATTTGCTTTCTAATGAACCGATTTTTCGCGTATTATACGAATCTATTTTGTGCTCGTTATATATCTGAACAGAAAAACGATTGCGCGGCATGGGGCGAATCTTACGTAATTCAGCATTTGAAAGTAGGTTGCACGGTTCACCGGAGTTATTTTCTGGCTTCTCCGGGCGGAAGCTGCTGTCCGATCTTCGTTTCTGCGTACGATAATCCGCGCGCGCGTGCTCGCACATGTAGCGAAATGCGTGCTAAAATGTGTCATCGACAGACTGAACATTTACTTTCCATGTGAACAAAGACCCACAATGAAATTTTCAATGATTTTATAATCGAAAATTGTTACGATTTGTTACAAATATTATTCCATTGTTCAATATTACATTATGCGTAATAAGTGTCTTCTAATTTTCCTCAATTTTTTCCATCTTAATTCTTTGTAGCTTATTTTGACTAATTGTTGACTGATATTTTTAGCTAATATTGTATGGCCAAAATATGCCTCTCCTTAACATGTTCTATTTGTTATTAAGTCTTTGTTTATATTATTAAGATACGTTAAATAAAAATTATATTGAAGAGGAAAAAAGTAATAATTATGCAATTTGATTGTGTTGATAAAATTAAATTCTAAATAAATAACAAGAAGGAGCTACAAACCAGAATTTTATGTATTTCAAATTCTTTAAACATATGTTTCGACCTTATTATTAGATCATCTTCAGTATATACATGTAGAGAACGCAAATTTAACAAAATTAATAAAACGGTTAGATACAATTTCTACAGATTATAGTTACGCAAAATGTATTCTTTCATATCTATCTTTTGTCGCAATTATGTAATCCTTTCAGTCTTGTAATATTCTCAGTTACATTTTTCCATTATATCGGTCGCAATTAGTATAATGATGATAAAATCCATAATGATGATAAAAATATTTAAACATGTTGAGTCATTCATAAAAATGTATCAGCACACATTTTCAAACGTGAATGTTTAACAAGAATATAAATCAGTAGTTGAAACAATGAGTCAAATTAATTCACAAGAAGCAAATGCGATCAGAGTTAAAATTGAAATCAGTTCAATCAAAAATTATTGGTATTATATTATATGCATATAATGCATGTTCTAAGAATTTGAAATATATAAAAATCTGATTTGTAACTCTTTCTTTGTTAATTATTTATTGTTTATTATTATTGAGATTATAAGATTATTATTTTTAAATTAATTTTTAAATTCTATTTGCACAGTTCGCAAATTGGAGATCCACGTATTTCTGTATTTGACAATTCTTATCAGCTTATTATGCGAGTCATGCGTGAAAACTTCATCAGTGTGAAAGGACATAAAATATTAATTTTCCTCAATTCTCTCTATCTTAATTCTTACATTATATGATTTTTTATTATCTCAGTTCTTACATTACGTGATTACTTTTTATTACCTGTTCGACCCAGAGATTCGTTGTCATGACCTGATTCTTCAAATTCTGCAAGAGAATAATTTTGTGAAAGTACATCATTCTCCCATACTTTGAAAATATCGCAATATTTCGTTATAAGCCGAAATATCTTATGCTCTTTTAAGATAAATAAGAAATGGACTACGGATTATTATATGTACGCATCCGCTATAATTTTTATCATTGTGAAATGTAAAGTATTCAGCTAAAATTCACATTCAAATAACATAGCTAATAATGTTTAAAAATTCATATTAAGACATTATTATATAAAAATATTTACTTTTCTGTTATAATTTAAATATTTAATTGTAACATTTAAATCCACAATTCTCGTTTATTTTTTTTTCATATTATTTTACAAATAATGTGACTGCAAGAATATTATTGCTTACCACATCAATAAGTTGCGAAAGTTTCAGTTTTATTTTAACGGTAAGGTTGTCTGTGGCGTTGAACGATGGACGAACCAATTTGTTGTAATTCGACAAGAGATCGTCATATAATCGTTTTGCATCTGGATTTCCTAAGCATCCTGGAAATATAGGAGAAGCATATCTTAAAATCGTTGCCTAAACGAAGAATTTATCGCACTAAACTAAATTTCCACATGTTACAATGTCGATTGTCTGCTTATAGAACAGAAGCTTAAAGTTAAATTAACAGAGGGCAAATTGAATCGAATGTAATGTCAAACTTATATGCGTTATATCACACAAGATGATAAATCATTCAATAAATTATTACGATATAAGTTCAAAGATGATTCATTTTTATTAATTTCTATTAATTAATTTAAAAGAATTTTTTATTTACGATCTATTGAAGTTTCATTGTATTTTTCCATTGTAACATGATTTTTCGTCACTTCTGTGAGATTTAGAATTTTTTAATATTGATGACGGACAGACGAACTGATAGACGAAACGAAAAGGACGGAAAATTCCTATCTATCCTTATTTATTATGTATGTATATATTATATACATACGATTATGTACTCGTATGTACAGAAAGTAATGCGTTACTTGTTACACTGTTATTATTATCGTTATTTTTTATAATATTTAGAAATGATTTTACAATTTTTCATGGCGATAACGATAATACTAGGACTGGAAAAATATCATTTTTAAAAAGCAGAACTTCTTTATTTTTTTACTCGTTTCATAAGATACTTTTTTTAATGAATAACGTGTAATGGTAACAAATTATTTTTCAAAAGTAACTTTCCCAATCCTGGCTTTATCGTCACAGTCATAAAAAATTGTAGTCATTACCAAATCATTATTATCGTTATTAAAAAAGTAACGGTGACGACATCACAATTAATAACGCGTTACATTCTATTCCTGTGTATATGTATGAATATTAGATATAGAAATGATAGCTCACCATTTGAACCATATCAAACATGGTGGTGAAGAGATGATAGTAACAGAATTCTATGAGAATAATACTCTTTGTCTTGTTAATTTTAGCAACTCAATTGTTACAATCCTTAAATGCAGATTGAAAATTGAAATGTATTGTATTATAAAATGTTCAATTATCTCAAGTCCCTTGACAGTCTTGACTATCCTTAAGTGAAATAATCGGAGATTCGTTCGAAGTACAAATTTATAAGACGCAAAAAATAATTGAAAGAAAATACGGAAATATTTTTTCGTATTCATACACATACATTATCGCGGCACTAGTGAAATGTGCTTCTCAAGTCACGCTTTATGGCTCTAATACCGTTGCCCACAGATCTACAGGCTCAACATTTTACTTTGAAATTACAAATAAGTGGAGAACGGTTGGACGACGACGAATATATATTATATTTGGTTCGTATCTTCCGGCCTATGTGTTAGTCTTTATAATGACAGCAACACTTTATGCACTGCCGTACGGCAAAGGGTTAAATATGCGCAAAGCGAAATATACACATTCACATGGGCATGGATAATGGGAAAACTACGAAGCGGAATTACCGAGCTGTCCTGTTACGTGGGCAAACTATCCACGGTTGTCTCCCTTTCTTTGATATCTGCTCTCGGGCGAAATATTTCCCGCTTTTCCTCTTCCCGCGTCCTTGTTTTCGCTTCGTCTATCTCTGACCGTTTGTCCATCATCAATATTAGCTCTAAATCTCGCAGAAGTGACAAAAGGGATTGTTTATATGAATAAATTATTTAAATATGAGAAACGTCAATTACGATCAAAGTTAAATGTTAGACATATATATTATTTAAAATAAATTTTTTATCTCAGAAATATGACTGCACGTTGATTACTTTCGATAGGTAAATTCAATTTACTTATTATGTGAATCGCTTTTTATTTTAATTTTATAATATTCTTCAAAAGAAAATAAATTCTTGTTTTGATAGTATATAGTGTTTAGATAATAATGAGTTTTTCTAAAATTTAATAAATGTATTTTACGATTATTATCAAGAAAATATTTTTTATTAAACAATCGTTAAAAGGAAGAAAGGAAATTATTAATCACTTTTCTTAGAATTTTCAATAGAATGATATTTTTTCTTAGTATAGAAGTTCGTGATTATTCTTACAAATTTTTTCCACGTATTATTTAATCACCTTATCTCACTTATTTTGGTACAAACTCTGTAATTTGTCCATTTGCTTGGATTAAGGAAATTTTATTTTTCAACCAACATGACGTCGATTATGCATCTATAGAGACGACCAAAATTTCCGCTTACTCGACGAGGCGCGAATACGTGTCGATATTTCATTATTATGATAGAGTCGTCAATTCGGCTCATCGTTATATTATTTATTACGCTCGCGCACGTCATTTTATTACCGTTTTACGAGTTTCTATCCGTTCAAAACTAACGCGTGCGTCGCCAGTGATTTTAATTTTAAAACTGAGCCATGGAGGGTTCTTCCGATTCGTATATCAAGAGACAGTCCCAAGAAATTGGATTCGAAACTAACTGAAAAGGTTATAGCTGCGGAACGAAAGGCTAAAGTTGCCTGCGAGAATGTCAATAGTGATGTCTCGGCATCCGATTTTCCTGTATTCCGTGTTTATTCTAATTTACCGCTTGAGATATCAGAGTAATCTTCAAGTACTAGTCATCAACGATGCGCTAACATTTATGTTTGTTGAAATGTTACAACATAAAAGTGGAAAAGACTTGTCCACAAACTTTTATAGCACGTTGGCTTTTATGATTTAACTTTGACAGTATTAAAATTTTGCGACGAAATATCTATTAACGCAATGGAAAACTGTTTCTGACTTTTATAGACTTATGCATTTACGATTTATTGATTTGATATATTTCTATGATTTAATAAATTTCAATGACATAGATATTTCGCGCGTTTTACGCTTAGCATTTTATAATTAAATTGTATAGATATTTCAAAGACATATCGACATCTGAACACAAAAATTTATTTAATTTAACATTGAAAAAATATTCTGATTAAAACCAATAAAAAAGGTTTCAACAAGAATTACATTTTAATGACTGTTTCGTGTTCGGTGTGACATAGGCATCTCCGCAAGAAAAATAATACAAATAAAAAAATATACAGTAAGATTGGAAACAAGACCGTTTATGTTAAATACATTACTTAAAATATGAAGTGTCACTATGGTCTGAATGTTAAGATATTGAACTATTATATATATTCATATAAATAAATTAATTTCAGAAATGATAATTGCGTGCCGATATGGTTGTCGGACTTTCAACGCAATCAATCTGAAATATTAATACTTTCCCCAAATTTCCCAAATTTAATCTTAAAAAACTGTAATAAACTTATTGCGAAATATAAAGTTATATAGAGTTTCAGCACTGGCAATGAATTTTGGAACACAGCCATAATTACGCATGTGATTGTCAGATATTAGCCATGTGGTTTATTTCAATAATATTGTATTGTTAAAATTATGATAGAAATTCTATTTAATCTCATAAAAATACTATTCTTGTTGGACCTTTATATTAGTTCACAATCAGAATATTTTTCTCTGTGAAATTTCAATTGATACAAATATTATTTATTGAAATATTAGACAATCACACGTAATTATACATATATACGAACCGATGATTAATTCTCTAAATAGAATTGCACTTGAAGGTCTGATTCTGTAATCGTGTCATTTGCTCCGTTTAACATACTCGTGTATGATTTTTCCAATAAAAAAGTAGGAAGACGATGAAAAGAGGAGGAAATGATGTTACGGTCGTCTCATGAGTGCAATCCACGTGCACAAGTACGCAAAAACAACGTTTAGAAATGCAATCATAAATGCAGACAGCCAGTTATGTATGTCTATACTTACGAACCGCGATAATGTACGCATCTCATAGATCACAGCCGTATGGACGACAATATATATAACGATATGATCGTCCATATGGATTATAGCAACTTTGAACTCGCAAATACACTCGCAGGACATGGAAAATGTTTTACGAGCCTCAAGTAGATTTCGTCTATGTGTACATTTACAATCATTATTTGCGTATGAACGCAAGAGTGTATACATTTGTCTATACATTTTGTATTTTTGTGCGCGTTTTTCCTCGTAAAATGGAGAGAAATAACGACAAAAGATGTTTTTATGTATTTGTTAGAAAATTTTTATTTATTAAAAAGGGAAATAGCACGCGCGCGTATGACCTGATTAATTGTGTTTTATATATATAAATTGTACTATATTTATTTATTGTAATCTATTTAACTATTTCATGTTCAGTATGACATATCGCATCCTTGCAAGAAAAGTGATAAAAAATATAAAATTGTTCAAGAAAGAGGAAAAAGAAAAGTGCGTAATATTTTAAAATTAATTGTTTATTAGAGTAGTATAAATATAAGTTAAGTAGACATAATTATAATTTGCTTGTTTCAACTTTTCCAGAAATAATGCAGAGATTAATTTTGTTATTTTGATGTTGTACGATATCTTTAAAAACTACCCCTATATTCATTTGTCATTTTTTTGGGGAAGAATTTGAATTCAACTTATATCACTTTTCGTGATTAAAGGTTAATGTATTTAAAATACAATTTGCACATAATACGAAATTTGAAAAATTTTAACTTGTACCACTTTCTTGCAGAAATAAGATATATTGTAAAATATCTAAAAATATATATCTTCAAGTATTTTAATTATTAAAATCAAATAGATCTCATTTTTTAAAAAGCATCTCATTTTTTAATTTTTAGAAAGAATATTATAATAAATATCTGTTATAAAATATAAAAAAATT